ATCACATAATTTAAGTCTGAAATAATTTTGAGCATTACCAAATGTGACACAGACAGGAAATGAGCAATCGTCGTTAGAAAAACAGCACCAATAAAATTGCTCAACATGGAGTAGTAACAAACCTTCATTTTTTTTTTTTTTTTTAAAGAAAAAATCTTGCAATACCTGCAAAGTGCAATAAAATGAGGTATGCCTGTAACTTCAAGTACAGTGCTTTCATAACAGTGTAGCTTAGTAGTTACGAGCTTGCGCTTAAGAATTAGACTGCCTGGACAAAACACCCCTGCCTCCTCTGCTTACTGTGTATCCTTGGGCAAGTTAAACCATACCTCACTCTCTGCATGTTTAAAGATAATTACCTACCTTATAAAGGTGGGGGGTTAAGGGGGCAAGTGGGTGGTATTTATGTGTAATTCCCAGTTTTTCCCTGTGAGGTTCTAAGCTGGAGATACGATTCTGATAACTGAGTCTTGTAACAGAAAACTCTATTAATACCCATTTATATTCCCAGGTTATAGAAAACTAAGTCCCAGTCTCTTCAATGGGTGCCACTATCAGCTTCTGTGAAGAGTGTGGTTTTTACTACAAGTACAACCTTCTTTTCAGCTTCTCATACTAGAGAGGGTGTCTCCTCACCGGAACCAATAAAACTTATTCACATTTTTTTTTTTTTAAAGCCACTGAATCCTTTAGCTAAACAAAACTTTAAAGTGAAATTGTTTCTGTTTAATAGTGTGTACTTCCAATCTGAAAACCACTGCCCTATGTAAACCAGATTATCAGTGCCACATAACTGTCTGAAATTAACTATTTCACCTCTTGGCAAATCTAACCCTGGAGGGCCAGAATACATCTCTCTGTCCCTCTGCACTATCCTTCCACTTGAGACTTATTCACCACAGGCTCTGCTTATTGAAGTTCCCTCCTTCTGTTTTCCACTGAACTTTAATGCATTTTTCAGCTCAGATAAGCAATTCAGGTAACTGAATTGCTTTTTTTGCTCATATATCAGTAAGACCCAAATTTACATGTAATTCGTTTTTTTTTTTTTTTTTTTTTTTTTTTTTGAGACGGAGTTTCGCTCTTGTTACCCAGGCTGGAGTGCAATGGCGCGATCTCGGCTCACCGCAACTTCCGCCTCCTGGGTTCAGGCAATTCTCCTGCCTCAGCCTCCTGAGTAGCTGGGATTACAGGCACACACCACCATGCCCAGCTAATTTTTTGTAGTTTTAGTAGAGACGGGGTTTCACCGTGTTGACCAGGATGGTCTCGATCTCTTGACCTTGTGATCCACCCGCCTCGGCCTCCCAAAGTGCTGGGATTACAGGCGTGAGCCACTGCACCTGGCCTACATGTAATTCTTATTAAATATTAGCTAGTATATGAAGAAATGGTGAGAAGGCTAGATCAGAACTAAAAAACTCTGGAAGATTTTAATCATATTTAGAAGGTTAAGCAGTACAGGCAAACAGATTAGGGGGAGAGCTTAGACTGGAAGATAGGGTTTGAGGCATCCATGAAATAAGCGCTAGGTATCTATCAGTGATGAAAACCTGAAAGACCTCAAAGCTACCACTTGTATTTCCATCCACACCCGACTGTGTTAAGAACCTGTCCTCGATATTCCCAGCACCTGACACATACAGAGTTAATAGTTGACTCTGCCTGATTATACCAGACTCACCTCTTGCTTAAACTCTCTACCTCAGGTAAATTTTCCGTTTCCTATAGCACACTATTCCTTTTTGCTGAGGAAAGTTTTTTTAAAAAATTGTTACAATATGAAGTATATTTATGGCTTGTAACCAAGCTCTAGCCACTTCCAAGGTAATACATATTGACTGAAGACTATTAGCTACTAGGCAGTTAAGTCAGTATTACTTGATTAATTAGGTCTGTCAAACTATGATGTAGTTGTTTTTTTTTTTTGAGACGGAGTCTCACTCTGTCACCGAGGCTGGAGTGCAGTGGTGCAATCTCGGCTCACTGCAACTTCCGTCTCCCGTGTTTTCTAAGCAATTCTCTGCCTCAGCCTCTCAAGTAGCTGGGATTACAGATGCGTGCCACCACGGCTGGGTAATTTTTGTATTTTTAGTAGAGACGGGGTTTCACCATCTTGGCCCAGCTGGTCTTGAACTCCTGACCTCGTGATCCACCCGCCTTGGCCTCCCAAAGTGCTGGGATTACAGGTGTGAGCCACTGTGCCTGGCCTATGATGTAGTTTTGTAGTTACCCATAGGGTGGAAAAAAGTTGCAGGGAAATGTTTAGTCAGTACCGAAAATGCTAAGCATCTATGAAATATGCTGCAATGGAAACATGAAAAATCACTGGTGACTTGTTAGAAAAGACAAATAGCTTCGGACTCATTCTACCTTCTGTATCTTGCCCCTGGCCATGAGTTTGTTTGAACTTTATACCCTCCTCTCATTCCCCAACCGTCCTCCCCCAGTCACTCTTCTATCATCAGCACTATTTGTTATTAAATGAGGGTAAGGATCTGGACTCCCCTTACCTTCTACCAGGGCAGCTCAAGGGACAGAGGATGTTCAGAAGCTCATGTAACCAAATCTACAGTCAACTATTAACTGCAACACCTTTTGGGTTATATTGTCACGTTAGGGAAGCCAGAGACAAACCTGCATGGCCAAACTGCAGAGAAACACTTACATACATTATCTTACTTTCACTGGATATGCTTTTGGTGCCATTTTCCCACTGTATTCTAGCAAAGGACCCAAAGTACTGGGGATATTTAACAGTTAATATAACAAGTGCCACATGCCAGCTGGTTTGCAAGTGGGGATAATGCAAGCTGTATAGCTGGTCACCCATTAGGTCTCAAAATTTAGGAGGATTAAACTTAAAAACTAGAATATGAAAAATACTGACAATGGCAGTGCCTTGTTAAGAAGGCAAGTATTTTAAGTGGTGACTGTAACTCTTGGGTACATGTTTGCTTTCCCATTCTTATCCGTCATACCTCTTCCCTCAATCCCCTTCAAAAATCACAGCTTTTAATTTAGAACATATTTTGAGAAAAACCCTAGACTGAAAAGCTTGGATCAAGGCAAGGCCTATTAATACTTGAGTATCAGACCTGGTGCGGTGGCTCATGCCTGTAATCCCAGCACTTCAGGAGGCTAAGGCAGGTGGGTCACTTGAACTCAGGAGTTCAAGACCAGCCTGAGCAACATGAAGAAACCCTCTCTAGCAAAACAAAACCACCAAAACGTATCTTAAGAACCACAGTGCCCATGAGTTAAGAAGGCACACATGTCATTAGTGACTGAATGACTGGTTTTCTTAAAGCTGGGTCTGGAAGCCATATGCTCTGAACATGGGATTTTAGCATAATTACAATCCCTCAGTACATTTTATTAATTGAGTAAATGATAGAACAAATGCCCTATACAAATGCCCTATATAGCCTTTTAGGGCAGGTGATGGATGTTCATCAACAAGCTAACAAAGCTATGAAAAATTCTTGAGCTTCTGCCCAAAAGACAGTGAAACACTTACATCAGGCAGTGTGCATCAAGAAAACTTCTCCCTGACAGATTTTTTTTTTTTGAGACAGAGTCCGCTTCCAAGGTTCAAAGTGATTCTCTGCCCCAGCCTCCCGAGTAGCTGTGACTAAAGGATGCACCACTACACCCAGCTAATTTTTGTATTTTTAGTAGAGATGGGGGTTTCTCCTGAGCTTAGGTGTTCCGACCACCTTGGCTTCCCAAAGTGCTGGGATTATAGGCGTGAGCCACTGCACCTGGCTGACAGATTTATTTTCAATATGAGTTTGGCTACTTCAGAACAGGGGCCATGATTATCTGCCATTACAATAGTTTAATTGAATATTCTGCCTCAGCTTCCTAAGTAGCTGCAATTATAGGCACTTGCCACCATGTCCGGCTAAGTTTTGTATTTTTAGTAGAGACAGGGTTTTGTTATGTTGCCCAGGCTGGTCTCCTGAGCTCAGGCAATCCACCCACCTCTGCCTCCCAAAGTGCTAGGATTAGAGGCATGAGCTACCACGATGGGCCAGTCCTCTTCTCCACTATCTTTAATACATGGCAAACCCTCTTGCTTCAGGGTTTAGGAAATGATTAGAAGCTCCAAGAATCATTATTTAGAGAATACTTTATTAGTTTCTGTAATCAAACCCATGTAGATAAGACCTTACATATTTAATACAGTGTTACCCCTGTACAAATGGAAAAAAATTAAGTTTAACGTTTCTAGACCAATATGGCTGTTAATTTCTGTACAATGCCAACTCAACACAGTAAACTGGGATACTTTTTCCAAAGTTGACAGCACAGCTAAAGTTTCCAAAAATTCAAATTATATATATATATGTATATATATATATATATATATATATTTATATAAAAAGACCAATAATAGCAGTATGTTATGCATCAATAGCAGCAACAGCTTTTCCAGGTTCTGCAGTCATCTGAACAAAATTATAGAGACATCCAGCACACTCCATTTAAAAAAAAGGGGAAAAAAAGGTAAAAAACAAAACCCCCAAAAATTGCAAAGTTCTGTTACTGTTGTGGTACCTGGCACCATTTTTTAAAATTAGCTTCTGAATCATCATCTGGAAAGAAAACATTCTAGAATAACATCATTAAAAACAGCTCTGATAAAGCACGGTCACTACTACATATCATAAAGCAGGTACAAGATATTTTACATTCACAGAGGTATGATACAGTACTGTCCTATATCTATAATACTAGAGGATACAATTAAAAAGGCATTATTTGAGACTTGATTCTACTTTTCCAGCAGAGGGCCCAATGGATGGCATGACAGCTCTGTAAAGAAATGCACCTTCTTAGGATTTCCTTTAATTAGTGGCAGAGTTCTAGGTACTCACTGTTCTTCATGAACACCAGCTAAAAACTGGTTT